TATTCTTGGCTCTTTCGGTAAAGTCACGTAGAAGGGAAATAATAAAATAATAAAAATATAAAACAATAGAATTCTCACGACGTTTCGATTGCAACACAAGCAATCATCATCAGGTGTGGTTGTATTTGTATTATTTTATTATTTACCTTCTACGTGTGAAAACCACACCTCATCACCATCGCACCTAATGATGATTCCCTTCTACGTGTGAAAACCACACCTCATCACCATCACACCTAATGATGATTCTCTTCTACGTGTGAAAACCACACCTCATCACCATCACGCCTAATGATGATTCCTTTCTACGTGTGAAAACCACACCTCATCACCTTCACACCTAATGATGATTCCCTTCATCGTGTGAAAACCACACCTCATCACCATCGCACCTAATGATGATTCCCTTCTACGTGTGAAAACCACACCTCATCACCATCACACCTAATGATGATTCCCTTCTACGTGTGAAAACCACACCTCATCACCATCACACCTAATGATGATTCCCTTCTACGTGTGAAAACCACACCTCATCATCATCACACCTGATGATGATTGCTTGTGTTGCAATCGAAACGTCGTGGGAATTCTATTGTTTTATATTTGCATTATTTTATTATTTTCCTTCCACGTGACTTTACCGAAAGAACCAAGAATATGAATCCCTGCAGTCACGAAAGCTTTAAATCGAAACTCTATACTGTATTTGTAACCTGCTTTTAAAACTATGTTCTCGAGCGCCGTGAGTTAAGACGCTCTGTAAATACATAGAAATAACATCAGGTAAGCATTCGGAAAATTGCACCGTTGCTGTTTGAAGCGCCGCATCTGGAAATGGAATCGAAGCTGCGAAAATCTGGATCGCAAGTCCAGCGTGCTGACCGTGACACCATGGAAGCCTGCCCGGCACGCCTGCCAAATGGACACCTGTGCAGAGAATTGCATCAAAGAAACACCGCGCTAATCATGAGAACGTATTCATTGTTAAGCACCGTGAGATTTTGTTTTTAGTCTAAGATGTCTCATCTCAGAGCTCGCTATTGTGGGATAAAGATGACGCTGACTGCGTTGCAAATCCAACGCGTCAGAAACTAAATGAGCATTTTATTATTTAAAACGCTGAATACGAGAAATAAAATCCAAATAAATTAACGAACTTTAAACGAATTACTTCCGATGCCTAAAACAACTCAAATGATGTTTGCATGTAGTTATCTAGGTAGCAATTATCTTTATTGTAATAAAACAAAGTTTAACATTCTTGCGAAGGGGCGGACAATTTAATTTATAGTCTTGCACGTTTAATATTCATGCCAAATGAACCGAGTTCATACCGCGGTATTTTTACGTAAAAAAAAATGTGTTTTCTTTAGACAGCACTTTTCATCATCATCATCGACATCGACAACAGCAGCTGTAGTATCTATGCATGTTGAACTTCTTCCGCACCGTACATAACCAAACCGTGCTAATCGGAGGTGACGGGGGAAGGACAACAAACTAAACACACACAAAAAGCAGTGCTTTTAGGGAAGTGAGTTTCCGATGTAGGTTTAACCACGGCGCTCCGTCATTTGTTCTCTTCCACAGTCAGAGCGGCCGGTGCGGTGTCTATCCTCCACCTGTGCAGGAGATGAGCGCACCCGCCGTTAGATCATCTGCGTCGCGATGATTCATTCACCGTCATCCCGAGTTTACGGGGGGGGGAGCGAGAAGCCGCGGAAAGGATGCTCAATTAGGTCACTGAAAAGAAAGAAAGAAGCAAATAGATTTTTGATTTAAAGCTTTCGTGACTGCAGTGATTCATATTATTGGTTCTTTCGGTAAAGTCGCGTTGAAGGGAAACAATAAAATAATATATATTTTATTATTTTATATTTTTATTATTTTATTGTTTCCCTTCAACGTGACTTTTCCGAAAGAACCAAGAATATGAAACAAATAGATGTTACTCATTAGCGTGATACAGAGTCTTCGTTCGTGCAAATTGCAGCTCGCGATCACAGCGGAGCCACAGACGAGCTGGCAGGCTCCCTGGCGGCGAGCGGGCGCCGACAATTGCTCTGCAGTGCTCTAAATATTGCGGTGTCTTTAGCCAGTTCGTGAGTGTTCACAGAGGTGGGAGGGGGCAACGCTCTATCCCATACGGAAAGGGGACAGGCGATGTCGGTGCACGCTTTGCTCTACTCCATTTCTGCCGGCGAGCCAGGGGTGGGCCACCTCCTCCTCGACGCCCCTCCCCCCACCCCCCCGGGCGAGAAGAGAGTCTCGAAATTATAGTTTTTGTCATTTGTGCGGTGATCCACCGAAAACCAATCGCTGTCGCTCCCTCCACAGTGCCCGGTGACAGGCGGCCACGTGCTCAGCCACCACGGCCGCTCGGCGTGAAGCGCCGAGTCACTCGACGAACGCCGAGTCACTCGACGTTCATCGTTGCTTTTACTTTGCTTTGCTTCGGCCAAGAGCGACGTCGCGGCAGTGAATCCATCGGCGTGGTGGCCGACGCGCGGCCGTTCTCGCGGCCGCCACGCAAACTCGGGCAAGACATTTGTGGAGCGTCGCGATGCGGGAGCAGGTGGAGCAGCGCTTGGGAAGGAACGGCGGCGAACGAGCAGTGTCTGAGTGCCGATGCTGACGTCCCCCCCCCCCACCCACCCACCCCGGTCTCAGCAGCAGCTGGGACAGCAGCCCTGGGTGGTGCTAAATCACGACACGTGGCCACTCTGTTGCCAAATGCGGCCTCGTCATTGCCACCACCCCCCCCCCCCCCCCTCCGATATCATCTGCTCAGAGCTCCCTGCGTGTGAGGGGTACCAAGGTGGCTAGGAGATGTTAACTGTCTCGCCTGGTATGCAGGAGATTGTGGGTTCGATCCCGACCCTGACGCCTGCTGCTGTGTATTTGGAGTTTGCGTGCCTCTCTCCCGGTGGTCGCGTGGATTTTTCTCCGCGTCCTCCCAGAGGTTTTTCCCTCCACATTTAAAATCTACACACGTTCAGAGTGTTTGGCTGCTATACATTTCCACGCGATAAGCCACTTCGTTGAGCGATCGTTTGTGGCCAGGTCGCTTCTGAAAGAGAGCTACATGGCTCAGTGGGCCTTGCCTGGTAAAATAACAAAATAAAAGTTTAGTTTATGGTTTAGCACGTGGTCTGTAATCCAGCAGTGGTGGGTTTGGTTGATCACCGCACAAATGACAAAAAGCACTGCGAGACTCCCTTCCCGTGGGCATCAAGGACGAGCCTTACCGCTAGCTCGCTAGCACTAATCCAGTACGGGTAGAGTGTGGGCTGATGTCACGGGATACAGCGTTTCCCCCTTGCGCGTGTGAGTTTCATCGCCGGCTTTGCTCCGGTTTTCTCCCACGTGAAAAAAAATAAACACTCATTCATTGGCTGAAAACATCTCAACATATCTAGAGAACAGCAGAGCTTGGCGGGGTCGGATTTGGCTCCAGCTCCCGAGTCGTTCTCTCTCTCTCTTTCTCTCTCCGAGAGCTGCTACGAACGAACACCGCCCGGCGGCGGCCTGTTACACGTTGATATTATAAATGTTTTATCGCATTGTGTATTTATGCGTAATCGCATTGTGCGTTTGTGAATGGTGCGTGCTAACTTGCAGCGCGAAACCAATGCTGCCGAGCAAACAACCAAAAAAGATCGCTCCTTGAAGGCACTGTGTGCGCCTGACGTGATGTCTTAAAAAAAAACATTAATCTGGAGAGACAAACATGGGAAGGGGGTGCATCGTCTGATTTTGTTTTTATTTTGTTGCTCATGTTCTGCACAGCGACGCCCATGATTGTTTTGTGTTGTGTACGCTATGTAAAGGAATTGCACGTCGTGGGTTCAGTGACCTTTGCATCCACGAGAGCGTGCTGCATTTGGCATAACGCACGGCGGCAAGATTGATTCTTGAATTGAATCACGACTCCAAATCGTGACAATTCATCAAACCGCGGGGGCGGGGTCATGGGGGCGTGGGGGGTGGGGGGGGTTGTGCGTGGGGGGGGGAGCAGAGCAGAGTTTCGTTGTTGCCTCCCCACCCGATGGGTGGGTGGCTCAACGTGGCCACCAGTTGCACGGTGGCTAGGAGATGTTTACAACTTCGCCTGGTATACAGGAGGTCGTGGATTCAATCCCAATCCCTGACGCCCACCTGTATATTTGGAGTTTGCGTGTCTCTCTCTCTCTCTCTCCCCGTGGTCGTGTGGATTTTACTGCGGGTCCTCCGGTTTTTTCCCTCCGCATTTAGACTCAACATCACCACGCGTTTAGAGTATCTGGCTGCTCTAAATGTCCACGTGATAAGCTATCATTTGTGGGCAGGTCGCTTCCATCAGAGAGCTGTATAGCTCAGTGGGCCTTACCTGGTGAAATAAAATAAACATGATTTAGTTTAGTTACTATATTCAACACCTTTGGGCAGTGTCCCTGTAATAACCTCACAGCGAGACCGGTACCAGATGCCAATTCCCGAACCGTCTGGGGCCAAACCTACACTGAAAACTAATTTCTTTAGAGCGGCTTTTGTTGCGTTCAATTTGTCCTTCCCCTTCCGATTAGCATGGTTGATTACGTACGGCGCGAAAGAAGTTCAACACACACAGACACACACAGACACACACACACAGACACACACACACAGACACACACACAGTCACGCACAGACACACAAAGTATGTTGTTTGGCATTGTGTCCGCGCGCGTTGCGAGTTATTTTAGGGCCATTCCATTGGTCGACTTGCCCTTGACGAGCACCTGACCCTCCACCGCCTTTGCTGTGTATCTCTCTGTGTGTATGTGTGTGTACGTGTGCGCGTGTGTGTGTGTACGTGTGTGTGTACGTGTGTGTGTGTACGTGTGTGTGTACGTGTGTGTGTGTACGTGTGTGTGTGTACGTGTGTGTGTGTGTGTACGTGTGCGCGTGTGTGCGCGTGCACCTCTCTCGGAGTGATGCTGGCGGTGCGTGCGTGCGTGCGTGGGGGCGACACGCAGGGCGAGTGCTCGCAGAAGTGCCACGACATCTTCGTGGTGGAGACGGTGTGCGTCGGCTGGTTCTCCTTCGAGTTCCTACTGCGGCTCATCCAGTCGCGCAGCAAGTGGCGCTTCCTGCGAGACCCGCTCAACATCATCGACGTGGCGGCCATCCTGCCCTACTACGTGACGCTCGTCGTCGACTCAGTGTCGGACGGCCGCCCGCCCTCCATGGGAAGCACCAACATTTACCTGGAGAAGGTGGGCCTCGTGCTGCGCGTGCTGCGCGCGCTGCGCATCCTCTACGTGATGCGCCTCGCGCGACACTCCCTCGGCCTGCAGACGCTGGGGCTCACGATCCGGCGGTGCACGCGGGAGCTTGGCCTCCTCCTCCTCTTCCTGTGCGTCGCCATGGCGCTGTTCGCCCCCATGGTCTACTTGGCGGAGAACGAGCTGGTCATGGGGAGCGGCGGCGGCGGCGGCGGTGCGTCTCGAGCATCCGAAGCGCCGCCCAGCGAGGATTCCGGCATCGGCGGCGGCGGAGGAGGAGGAGGCAGCCGAGCCCACGAATTCACGAGCATCCCCGCCTGCTACTGGTGGGCCATCATCTCCATGACCACGGTGGGCTACGGGGACATGGTGCCGCGCAGCGTCGCCGGCCAGGTCGTGGCCCTCAGCAGCATCCTCAGCGGCATCCTGCTCATGGCGTTCCCCGTCACGTCCATCTTCCACACCTTCTCGCGCTCCTACGTGGAGCTCAAGGAGGGCCAACTGCGCAACCTCCACCTGAAGCACCGCGTGGCGCTGCTCAAGGCGCAGGCGACGTCGCCGTCGCTCGACAGCTCCCAGTACTCGGAGCCCCTCGGACAGCGCGGCGGCCTCATCCCCAGCGGATGAGCGGCGTCACGCCGCTGACGACAGCGATGGTGAACAGTTTGCTGCTGCTGCTGTTGATGATGATGATGATGCTGTTGATGATGATGATGATGGTGGTGATGAACGGTCCTTGCTGATAATGATGACAAAGACGCTCCAGCTGCAGCTGATGATTAATGATGTTGACAATTATGAACATTTGCCATTGCCGATGCCGCCGCAACTGCTGTATGATGTTGATTACGATCATGAAAACGTGCTGCTGCTGTTCTTGATAATGAATAACAGCTGCTGCTGTTAATGATGATTTTGCGACCGATGATGAATGATGGTGATTATTAGAGATTAATCTTGATCTTGCATATTCATCATTACACGAAGATATGCAAGACACAGATCCCCCGTGTAGCCTTAGAGAACATAGGGGCATGTTCTTACATGCAGGAAATGTGACGTCTGTTGGAGTGGGAGGGTGGTGTCGTGGTTATCACACTGCATTGCACGATGAACCCGGCGACCTGGGTTTGAATCCCGACCATGGCAAACATTAGTGGCAAGTCACTTCTCAACCAGTCCCAAGCTCCCCTTGCAATAATCTGCAATGACCAGAGTGGCTAATTACGGTCAAATAATTCCACAACCGACACGGCGTAGGAAAATCTTCATGTAGGAGTGGATTTCGCAAAGAGGCTATCACTTCTAGATTTGAAGCTTTCGTGACTGCAAGGATCCATACTCTTTGGTTCTATTCGGTAATTCGGTAATAGAATAGAACCAAAGAATAAGGCTATCACTTATTATCACGACGTAGCCATGACATACGATGAGTATAGAGGGACAGCGCGATACGCATATAAGCGTGGTTTAAATTCGTCCGGGGTTTGTCTCGATCGGTTCGCCCAGCACACCACATCCAGTACACTTCTCGTGGCCACTCGTCACGTGCCGACACTCCAGTCTACCGACGATCCTGGAGAATATTCCGCGAGAAATTAAACGTTCGTGATGATGAACCTCTGCTGCTGATGGTGCTTCTGATGATGATGATAATCGTGAAGAACAGCCGCAGCTGCTGCTGCTTATGCCCTGGGATGTTTGAGTGTAGTTTGGAGGTGACTGATAGCACCTGTATGACTTTGGCATCCTCGGAAAGCCCTTCAAGAGAAGTACCAGGTTTTCACTTTCAATGAAAGTACTTTGCGCCATAGTCGCCGTTGTAAACAGACTCTGCCTTACAGTTTGAGACGCCTGCGCGATGTTGCCCGACGTTTTAGGCCACGAACCCTCTTGTCGTCGCAGAGGCGGACATTTTGACTTTGGAATTACCGAAAAAATGTGAAAACCTACAGCCATTGTGACACTAAACATTCAGGAAAATTCACGGGAAATTATACGCTGACAGAATAGAGCTTTATTTCTGTTTTGCGTGTTGGCAAGCTATGAAACTTACTTGAGAAAATTTTGGTCACTGGTTTAAATAGCTGTATGGCACCTGCCATTGCATGGACTCCAATGATGAGGAAACTAAACACGAACCGCGTTTTGTGTTTTAGTTTGCTGTCCTTCCTCCGCACCTCCAATCAGCACGGTTGGCTGCGTAGGGTGCGGAAGAAGTTCGACACACGTACGAGACTAAGACTCCGGAGACGAGACTTTTCCCTGGACATCCCTCGACTAAGAACAAAACAAACACACAAAATTCCGTGGATTTTGTGAAAGTGAGTCTCGATCTGGCCCACGAGTTCATGTCCTGGCACGAGCGATTAGATAACCTTTGACCTTCCGTGGCGCATGGGGACGGCTCTGTGCAACAGGGCCGATTGTAACGTCTCATAGAGCGTGCAGACTCTTAAAATAACAAATACAGGAATACCTCGATATGCGAAGTAGGTGTGTTCCCGGAGCTTCCTTTCGTATATTGAAACTTCGTGTATATGGAATCGCTTTTCACATCAGTACTGTGAGGATGCGTTGCCTGCGTTCATATTATTATAGTAAGACTTGTTTAAAACTTATTTAAGATTTTAGATTCCTATATGTTGAATGTATGCACCATCCTGCCAAAGTAAATTCCGTGTCGGTGTGAACTTTCATGGCGAATAAAACCCTTTCTGATTCTGATTCTGAAATCACCATTTCAGATTATGTAAACACTTCATAACTTACCATTCATATTGTAAACAAAGACAATTTATATTGAAAATAATATAATATTTTATACTGTACAGTATTAAAAATGTTTTGACAAACTTTCGCAATGCAGAAAGGTCAACAATCTATATCTTATAATAATTGTATTTTACTTACATAATGTATTATTTATTCATTTTAGTGTACGCGTTTATTATTTTTACTTTCTTTTCAGCTTTCTGTTCAAAGTAATTCATCCAAAGTTCGTAATACCGAAACTCCGTTTATCGAATATACGCATATCGAGGTATTCCTGTACGTTAATGTGAGTGCCGTGACTTTATTTTATGCGCAGAATCATTGTACGTATTGTAAATATGCTGCACGTATGTGGCGAAGTGGGTTTGCGTGTGTTTGTACAGATACCTTGGAGTGTACAAAGGGGAGCAAGGAGTGGCAGAGCAGCGATCATTGCGCTGCTCTGCGAAATCGGCGATCACGGCCAACATCGCCGATACTAGAACCATTTGCCTGGCCTCCCCTAGGCCGACTCAGCCTTAAATGAGCGATTAGTACGGTGCGCAAAACAAAACAAAAACATCAGTGCCGGGGAGGCAGAGGCGGCTGAATGTGGCGTTCACGGACACACCACCACCTCGTGTGCCGTGCGGGCCTTAATAGGTGCTCGCTAACAAGGCGTTTGACCCGATGGCAATCTGTCCCCTTAAAGGCTGAACGGGGAAACCTTTGCCTTCGCTTTGTTGCCCTGTTTATAGTTATACACAATGTACACGTTCGCGTACTGTATATATTTATATACAGATACAGAGGCAGGCGTGCAACGTGGGTCGGTGAGATGTCTCGTGCGACCACCCACCCCACCCCCGACGCTCGCGGGAACAAATAAAGAAACACGCGTGGAAGGGACTGGTGCCACGAGAGATAACCTCGCGTGCCTCGCGTCGAGAATGTGGCGTGCCGAGATTTACGACGGGGACCGGCGGTCCGCAGGATGTTGACTCCCTCGCCCGGTATGCAGGAGGTTCGTGGGTTCGATCCCGAGCCTGACGATCCCTGCTGTATAGTTGGAGTTTGCGTGTCGCTCTCTCGTCATCATCACGTTGGCTAGGAGATGTTGACTCCCTCGCCCGGTATACAGGAGGTCGTGGGTTCTATCCCGAGCCTGACGATCCCTGCTGTATAGTTGGAGTTTGTGTGTGTGTGTGTCTCTCTCTCCCCGTGGTCGCGTGGATTTTTCTCCGAGTCCTCCTGTTTTTCACTCCACATTTATGATGAACGTCAGGCGTTTAGATTATCTGGCTGCAGTCAATGTCGACATGATGATAAACCACTTCCTTGAGCTTTCACTATCATTTGTGGCCAGGTCGCTTTTGAAAGAGAGATGTACACGTACAGCTCAGTGGGCCTTACCTGGTAAAATAAAAAATAGATTAAGTTCGGTTTAGTTTCTATAAAATGTTTTTTTTGTGATTATATGTAAATATAAATGTGTCGTTAAACCCACCACCACCCGACAGAGACAATTAGTAAGGGACTAGTCACGTAAACAAAACGTGCCAATTAGTTACTACTTCAGCACACCGGCGTGTTGGAGAGTAAACCCACAACATTTATAATTTGGGTTCTGTGACGTCTCGCCGGTAATTACAACCAGCATCATCACGCGATAGCCAGAATTTGAGTAGAAATCCTCCTCCTGTTTTTGTCTTAAACAGAGGGGGGATACATGTGATGTCGTCACTTGTGACCCAATAAGGTGCCATGCCCTGTGGGAGGGTGAATGTATTGATATAAATTGCAATGGATATTTGTTATTGCTTTGGTTATTCACAGTTAAATAACATACAAAATGTGTATGCACATCACGCACGCACATTATGTACGTACATTATGTATTTACATTATGTGCGCACATTCTGCCGTTTCTTTAGTTTAGTTTGCTTTGACATCGAGCGCCCTGAGCCATTAACGCTGAAGTCCTGGGTTCGAATCCGGGTTCCAGCCGCACATGATTAAACCGGGTTCTCAAGCGCAGTGAGTTGATGGTGTTTGCCCAGTCGCCACTGACTTGACATGGAGACCCATAGACTCACATATATACCTATGAAAAATACTTACATAGAGACCCATAGAATCATATAGTGATTCTCACTTAGTGAACTACAGACTCAGATAGAGCCACATACACTCACTCTGTGAACGACAGCCTCGCATCGAGACAGACCTACACTCACGTAGACCAGGTTGCGATTAAGCTGAGTTCTCAAGCTCAGTGAGTTGATGGTCTCAGCCCAGTCGCCAATGTTAATCACGTGAATAACTTTATTCATTTGGGCCGTGTCGGGTGGAGGAGGGATTGACGACATATGTAATCTGGCCCAAAAAGAAACCAAGAAAAATACGTGAATGTTGATGCCGGTCACGAAAACCGACGTGTTCAAGAAAAAGCTTGGCCACTATCGTTCGATTTGGAGATGTCTGTGGTTGATACTATCAAGCAACAAAAATGAGTGAAACGCACTCAGCCTTTGTGCGTTCGACAAAAACCCATGAGCAGTTCTTGTGGTACTCTTGTGTTAGGTGGCCATCCAACTGAATTGGAACAAATGTGAACCGACTTAGGGCGGCAACAGAGATGGCCAACTGTGGACTGGTTTCGTCCTCATTAGGACTCATCAGTACAGTACGGTCACCAATTCTCACTGTTGCAGAGTCTGCCGCTGGCATCCATCCACTTTGGAGTCCTTGAGGCCCGTTAGCCTGCCAAATGCCAACAACCATCTTGTGTGTTCATGACAATTTCCCTGTTGTGGTGGATTTTTCACGCCATTTACAGAATTTGCGAGTCGCCTACGTCCAGAATAACAAACCAGATTTATTTGTTTTATCAAAACGTAAGTTCATATATATACTGTGTATATCAGATGATATTTTACGAGTGTTATCGTATCCCCTCGTCGTACAAACGGACCGACAGCTTTCAACCTGAGTTCGATGGCATGAAAGGGCCACTTGAAGGAGGACGTGTTTGAGCCCTGCTGCGAAAATAAAATCTTCGGTAGCGATTATCTGTTGCATGGAGAGCAGGGGAGGGGGGGGGGTTAGAGGGGTGACGGAGGAGGGGGGATGCCCCACCCTGTGAGATTTCCAAATAGTTTAATCGTCCTGTGATATGACACAATCACAATATTTATTTAGACTTGCAGGAGGAATCCGATGAGCTTTGAAGCTCTTTTTCACAGATGTCCAGTATGGGCACTGGGGTCGGCGAGTTACAACGACAACATTATAGAAAAGAAAAATCCGATCGGAGTGCAAAATCTAGAAAAAGATGAGCAAGTCACTCAATATAAATAAATACATAATGCATGAATGACACCCGGGGGAAGAGAGTGGACTGGGAAGACAGACAAGAGAATTGTTGTGACACTTTGTACCACCAGGTGCTTGTCCCTCCAGCACTCACCCCATGGTGGACTGCGTTGACAGATAATGTCCCACGCGATTTCATATTTGCCCACGCTGGTGAGAATGTATTTTTTATTTCACGTGCGTACGAGTGCGCGCGTGTCTGTGCGTTACGTCTGGATGTACCACGTGTGTGTGTGTGTGATCTGGTGTGTGTGTGTCAGAGTGTGTGCGAAGTGGTAGTGTAGCGCTACGCTCACTACGCTAGGAAACCCGGCGAGCCGGATTCGATTCCCGCTGACGGTCGAGACCAGTGACCATTATATGAACCGGTCCTGGGCCTCCTCTAGGTCGACTCAGCCTCAAATGAGCACCTGGCGCGGTGAGGAAACATCGCCACTCGGGAGACAAAGGCGGACGGGCGTGGTCCAGGCCACACCATCCACACGTGTGCCGTGCCGTCCTTGCTAGGTGCTCGCGAACAGCACTTGCCCCCAACAGTTTGCTGGACTTCGTGGGGCACCTTTCTCTTCGCACGTATGCAGGGTCGGATAAAACGAAGGGGCTCTCGGGGCTACAGCCCAGGCGCTGGTATCGTGAGGGCCTCTCCAACGGAGTCGACTTCTTTGTAACGGTTGAAAGGCAATCCTGGAGGACCGACGAATCCTCCTGCGCTATGTGGTCACGAAAGGCAGAGCCTCAACGTGCGTATCGCTGCCGGTTGTGCACATTGGAACTAGTTTCGGTCATTCTTGATTCGAAGCTTTCGTGACTGCAGGAATCCATACTCGTTGGTTCTTTCGGTAAAGTCATCACGTGGGTATGGAATAAAATCAATCACGACGTTTCGGGCGCAACGCAAGCGCCCGTCATCAGGTGGGAAAGCGTGGGCCTGCTGCTGAGGCGGACTGTTTTTAAAGGTTTGAAATGGGTGTAGCCCAAGGGTTATAAAGAAGTGGCCGGGGCTAGTGATGTTAATGTGAGAAATTAGCATGAAACCGTTTAAAAACAGTCTGCCTCAGCAGCAGGCCCACGCTTTCCCACCTGATGACGGACGCTTGTGTTGCGCCCGAAACGTCGTGATTTATTTTATTTTATACCTACGTGGACTTTACCGAAAGAACCAGAGAGTGTGTGATATACATGCGATGGATTCGTTCATTTTGAACTCTTCTTTTAACCTCAAAATTGTGACATTTATAAATGAAGCTGTAATCAATCGTCGTAAATCGTCGTCATCATTCATTCATTCATCATCATCGCCATCGTCTGCCGCAGCACTGTAATCATCGTTGTTTATTATTACGATATCACAGCCGCGGGAGCTGCAACGAGCACTTTGGAGAAACGCGGGGGCCCCCTGGCGTTGGCCATTGGGTGGTGTTGAAGCGCCCGCTGGGGAAGGAATCAAACGGAGAAAGAGTCCCCAACCCTCCAAAGCGATAGCAGCCCTGGGCTACTCTCAAACTCAATCTGGCCCTGCGTGTCTGAAATATGTAATTGGGTATTTGTGCATTATGCACGCGCGGACTGTGTGAATTGAAGTGGGTACGCGATGCATTGCGTTGCTGCATTGTGGGTGTAACGGGGGGGGGCTTCATCGGTTCATATCGATTCCTGGGCTCACGATGCACATATTGAATCACGCGTGGGCGTGTTTGTAACGATAGATTTGGCGGGCGCGTGAGTGTAGTGGTTAGCGCACTGCGCTACGAACCTGCCGAGCCTCGTTCGATTTCCGCCCACGGCCAATAAGACGTGACGAATATCTGAACGCTCAGGGGAGTCTCCTAGGTCGGCCCAGCCTTAAATGAGTTCCTGGTGCAGTGTGTCAACATCAATCAGCCTTGGCGAGACAAAGGCGACCGAGTGTGCTGGCCTTCATCGGTGTGCTCGCTGTAGGGCACTTGCCACAATAGCATGTTAAAGGCTACACGGGGATCTTTGTCTTTGTAATCACCAATGTTTTCTAAACGTGTGTGTGTGTGTTCTTTATGTGCTGGGTTCGCGTGACCCCCTGCAGCCACGGGAGACCGCCACGTTCACCACAATGTTAAACAAAATAGAATTGATTCTTGAATCGAGTTACGTCCCCTGAATGGCGATAATTAATTGAATCACAATAGGGAAGAATTGTTACACTTATTGTACGGTACACAATTGTTACACTTATTGTGTAACAATGGTGTACCGTACACTCTGTGCGTTAATGCATTGTGACAGTATGTACAATGTACACTTTACAATGTGAGATGGTGATTGTGCATGGCGGTGGTGTCACGGTTGGCATGCTGGGGTTGTCATCTCGGAAACCGACGCGAGTTCAATTCCTGACCACGGCGCACATAAACACTTGCAGCTCAGCACACGGCAGATGCCTGCGCAGCGTGACTCACGACCTCCTCTTGATACCAAGATCCAGGATGGTCATTGTCTATGCGCCGCTTCTCGGTGGCAGCCCCAACAGTCTGGAACACCATCCCCTCTGCACATTCGCAGCATCACATCAATCGCCTC